GACTCTGGGATCATGACCTGAGCCGAATCAGACCCTTAACGACCGAGCCACTCAGGATGAGCATCTTGTATACAGGAGAGTTTTGTTTTTTTTTTTGTCGGAGTACGTGAGTAGCTTCTAGTTCTCCAAACCAAGTCCGCTTTTCTTTCAATTAAGCAGTATTTCAGATATACACAAATTGGAATAATGAAATGAACCCCGTTGCCAATTTGCTATCTTTACTTTGGCTTCTATTTGAAGTATTTTTTTTTTATAAATTACCAGTGGAAATCTTCAAACAGAAAAATAAGAGTAATGAACCATCCACTAGGTACTCCTTATCAGCCTCAGTGATTAGCAAAGAATGTTGCATCTGTTAGCTCCCTCCCATAGGCTGTATTGTTTTAAAGCAAATTCCAGACATTCCTTTATTTTATTGGTTAATAAGCTGAAGTATTTTAAAGTAAATCTAGACATTGTATTTCCTCTCGAAATTCTGCGGAGTGCATCTCGAAAAAATTGAAGGACTGTTTCTTAGACCACCACAGTGCCAGTGTCTGTCACACTTACAATCCAAAGAATAATATTCTTTGATGATACATACATAGGTTTATTTATATATCTAGACCATATTCAGATTTCCTCTTGTTCCTTGGATTTCTTTTTATATTTAGTTAGAATTGGGCTTCAGGTAAGGTCCATGTGTTGTACTGAAATTATTTTCCATCTCTTTTTTATTTTCCATAGTTTTTTCTCCTGAAGAGACTTGAGTTGGTCTGTAAAGTGTTTCACCTTCGGGTTTTGTCTGATAGTTTCTTTATGCTGTTTGTTTCCTTGTGCTGTTAAATTTACTCCTTTTTCTCAGTTCTCATTCTTGGATCAGAGCCATCTGGGAAGCTTTATAAAATCTGAATACTCAGGCCATGTCTCACACTAGTTAAATCAGAATTTTTGTGTTGGGACTGGACGTTGGTAGTTTTTGAAACGTTTCAGGTGATTCCAGAGTCACTGCATACAAAGTTACAGTTTATCTTAGACTTAGGACCATGTTGTCACTCCAACCTGTACTTTGGAAGCAAGAGTACTTTTGCTATTTCTTGAAAGAATTGAGACTACTTATTTGCATTAGCAGTTGGGCCTGTGAATTCGTAAAATGTAATTGGGGTATTCATGACTTATAGGTGGTGAACATGAAAGAGGAAGAAGGAAATGGAGCTATGGAATGGGGCACAGGAGTGAGGAAGGACCTAATTTGTAAAGAAGGAGCATGTTTAAATAAGGCGAACGTGATTCGAGAGACTTCCTAATTGAGTAACATGCAATTTTGTAGGTCACTGTCTTCCTTAACCAGTAAATAAAATCAGGAAATCCTTACATTGCAGCCTATTGTTAGAGAATTTATTGTCATGCTTTTTCTTTTAAATAATGTTTAATAGGCCTTTAAGGAAAAAAAGTTACTTGTATTGAAATACAAAGTTGAGGGGCGCCTGGGTGGCTCTCAGGACCTGGAGATCATGACCTGAGCCGAAGGCAGATGCTTAACCATCTGAGCCACCCAGGCGCCCCAAAGATAATAGTAATTGTATCAAAGCATTGTTGTAAACATGGGAAAAAAATGGCTTACGATGCCTGGCATGCAGTAATAATCAGCACTTACAAGTAACGATGTTGGTAAGATGACAAGGCCTAATTGGGTAGACTTCCCTTTTGCTTAATTTATATTTGTAGGGTCTAAATGAGATAACAAAATACAGTCTCTTTTGGCTTTTATGTCTGAATGAATGATACCTGCTATTTACCCATTTATGGGTGAACACATTGTGGGCTGGGGAACTAATGGTGCCTTCTAGCTAGGTGCTGAATAATGGTAGTGGTGTTGTTATCTATGAGTCCCTTAGCCTTGACTGTGCTACTTTATTTAAGTAAGCTCTCCATACTGCGTAGGGCTTGAACTCAGTATCCTGAGATCAAGAGCGTGCTCTACCCTGCTTTGAAAGAGGATAGTTATTAATTACTTTGTTTTCAGAGGCTCACCTAATCATAACAGTTATTTGCATCTAAGGGACAAAAGTCACATGAAATTTTTTCCTTTCACATTGTCTAAATCCTTACACATTTTTGCCATTTGGTTCTATTGGTGTCTGAGAGGGATTGTTACAATCTTCATCTGTAACTGTAGAGTTGTCTTTTTACTTTTTCCAGTTCTTTATGTATGTTAGTGGGTACGTACAAATTCATAATTGTTATCTTCCTATTGCATTAACTTTTTTAGAGCAGTTTTAGGTTCATAGCAAAATTGAGCACTGTCCCCTGTAAGTGCACAGCGTCCCTCGTTTTCTGCATTCCCCAGAATGGTACGTTTGCTGCGGTCAGTGAACCTATATTGACCCCCCATAATCACCCAAGTCCATAGTTTACATTAGGGTTCTTTTATATTTACAGTGGGTGCTCTTGGTGTTGTGCATTTTGTGGGTTTAGACAAATGACACATATCCACTAATACAGTATCATACAGATACTGCCCAGAAATCCTCTGTGCTATACCTAATTATCCTTCCCTCCCTCCTAACCACTGACCTTTTTACTATTCCCATAGTTTTGCCTTTTCCAGAATTTGACCTTTTTTTTTTTTTAATTAGGAAATGTTCTTTCTTTCTCTCATAATAGCTTCTTACCTCAAAGTCTGACTTGGCCTTAGTACAGCCAGCCCTGCTTTCTCTCTGTTAGTGATGGCATAGTGCATCTTTTTCTGTCCTTTTACTTTTAGTAAAGCAAACATTTTCCCGTGTCTCATTTTCTAAGTATGTCTCCTGTAAACAGCATGTAGTTTTATTATTCAGTCTTCTCCTTGGAGTCTTTAGTTATAATTTAAGTAATTAATATAATTACTTAAATAAAATTGTGTTAAGTCTACCAGGTATCTTTTTTATATATTCCCATCTCTTTATTTCTTTTCTCTTTTGGATTAATTATTATACTATTCTTTATTGCTTTTTAGGTATATATCCTTTTATTATTTTAAAGATTTTTTTTTTTTTTTTATTTATCTCAGAGAGAATGGGAGACAGAGCATGAGAGGGGGAGGATCAGAGGGAGAAGCAGACTCCCCGCTGAGCAGGGAGCCCGATGTGGGACTCGATCCCGGGACTCCAGGACCATGACCTGAGCCGAAGGCAGTTGCTTAACCAACTGAGCCACCCAGGCGCCCCTATCCTTTTATTATTTTAGTGGTTACCGTAGAGGTTACAATATGTGTTGACCATTTAGTTATTTTACCACTTCCCAAGTAAATGAGATTAAAACTGTTA